GGCGTTCGAGTTGGAAGTCATACTGAACTCACCCGCCATGTCTATAGTAGTTGTTATTGGGGTCTCCATAGAGGCCAGACATAAGTCCTAACCCAGTGGTGTTGCCGATGTTCCCAATGGAGATGTTGGGAATGGAACCCATGCCCCCCACAGCGGAGCTGGGGTACGGTGACTGAAGGCCCACCGTCTGCATGTCCAACATTGCTGAACCGCCGGCCCACAACGCGCTGGGGAAAAAGACAAACAAAAAATTAAAAATTAAAAAATTAAAATAAAATACATGTATTGACTTTATGAGGAAATGTTGGTGACGAACATGTCCGGTATGGGAAGAAATAAGGCGTTTGAGGCTTCTTGAGCGATGAAATAGTTGTAGGAGAGCCTGGGGAAACTAAAAATGCCTACAACTCAAATCCCATAATTTTGAGTCGAAAACAGCAATACTTGTGGGTTTGCATTCTGCAATATATAATTTGAGTCATGGAGGCAATGTGATTAAAGTGAAGATAATGATAGTATTACTACGACTACTTGCTTTCTACTGCTGCTGCTGCTGCTACTGCTGTTACTGCTGCTACTACTACTACTAGTAAAATACTCATAATGATTATGGAAATAAAATTATACTAATGGTAGTAACAATAATAAAAGCAACAAAAACAATAACAACAACAATAGCAATAATAAGAATGATAATAGTAATAATAAAAAGAAGAACGATGATACTACTACTTCTTCTATGATGATGATGATGATGATGATGATGATGATGATGATGATGATGATGATGATTAAGCACCTTGTCTTCACGGATAAGGACAAAAAATCTCGGAGATGTTCGTGTTGTCTTAATTAAAGATCCATTGGTGGTTGAAAATGATAGAAAAATAGGTCTAGGCCTTTATACCCCATCCAAGTTAATTCAGAAAGAGATTTATATCTTCCCTTTTAAGTAAATCGAAACTAATGATATAATTTAACAACATTCAAAAGCACTTTGCCAATTTCAAGGCGCCCAAAGAGACAATAGCGGTTCACTATTTTTTTGCCGCACTACAGAAACCCGTTCCCTCAACTTAGTTTATAAACTTTTCTTTGGGTTAAATTGCCTCCTAACGCGATGTAAAACTTCATTAAGGAGTGGCCAAACCGAACACACAGCGCTCAATGTTGACGTCACGTGAAATCACTGATTGTCCACATAACAAAAAAAAAAAATGTTTTATCTGTTATATTTATCATTCAACATTTTAATCGCTGTCGAGCATTTGATGTCCGCATGGGTCTAATATTTTTTGCCAATTGAATTTTAAGCCGCCCGTGGTTCTGTTTGGGGTTCTTTTCGTCGCTTCCTCCCCGCTTTCACCTCACACGGCCCACACTCCAGATCAGAATGCCGAGGAATGCCCAGTCGTATCTATTATAGGCCTAGAGGGATTTTTAACGAGGAGAGAGGCACTCGGCCTGGGCTCAACACAGTACAACTCCTCCTCTTTTCCCCTTTTACCTTACCCAGACACAGAGTTCTGTGATTAGAATTTGACCCACTTGTCAACTTTACAGCTGTGTTCTGAGAAGTGTGATAAAGAACAGTTGGTTATGAGAGGAAAATGTTGCGGGCTGATTTTGTTCAATGCCTGTGTGATAAGTACATTCCTGTATAGGTCTATGTATAATAACTTATTCTTGGCGATCAGCGTAACTGGCACGGCATCAGTAGATATTTTGTCATCGCACAGGTTTAATAGATTATGCAGGATAAGTGCACGTCAAGATTTAGTGTTGGTGTGCAGAAAATAAGAGCTGCAGGGTAAAGAGGTCCAGGAGTTGGTTACTTCTCACTTTGTTTTCTAGTATAGTAGGCCTAGTGTCGACGTGAATGACAGCCACAATCCACGAGCCGCCCTAGATCTACACCTTCATTGATTCAAACGTGTTGACCGTGTCTTTCTTCATTTGGAGCATAAATTATCACGGAAGTCAAGATCCGAAGGGAAGGGAATGGTTTGTACTTGGGCAATCTACTTTCTCTGTTTACCGCCAAGGCAAAGCTGTATCATGCATACCGTTTGATGATTGTCTGTTGAGATGCGAAAGGCCATAGTGGTAGTGATTGCAACAATCATAATATCAAACTAATAAAGCTATCTCAAACTCCATTGATCTAAAGGCTAGAAAAACGAACGTTGTCAAAAAAATTATGATATCACTGTAAAAGCCGAAATGCAATCCAAACGTCTCCAGTAGTGTCGCTTACAGTAATAGGCATTGTGTGTGTGTGTGTGCGTGTGTGTGTGTGTGTGTGTGTGTG